GTGTGTATGTATAATATAATCTTTACTGCATTACTTAGCCAAATGAATCGTTAGTTTCAAATCACATCCGGGATTTGAAACTATCTCTTGGTGATGGTATTTACTATTTGATATTATTACTGTACTGCTAGTAAACAGACTGGTGCAATAATAACAACAATTCTTTTTTTTTTTTTTTTATAAAGATGTACTGACATGAATTTAAATACAGTACATAAGAATGTAAGACAAGTTTATTATTGCTGTAAAGTATGGGAAGTCTCTACCATTTAGACAAAAACATTGCAGTACTGCACATTACTAGTAGTTTATTACCAGGAAACAACAAAAAACAATGTAGATCACTATAATATCAACAGTGTTTCTGTATCACATCTGTTTCATTACATAATTACCTTGGTAACTGGTTCAATTGATCTACTGTGAGCATGTTATAACCTAATAAAACCTAATATGTTATCTAAAATAAAATTCTACTTTCTGAATTTTACCTACTTTACTTTTATAAATTATTTGATATTGAATTTTCCATTAATTTTTTTCTATTATTTTTTTCTGTTTGACTACTTCTTTCGATTTGGACTATTAAACTTACATTTGTTCACAAACAGCAATAAAGATTTTTTAATTGAATTGAATTACGAATAATTTCTATAATAATAATCTATATATTGTGCTTGGTTTAATTATCAATCAAACAGTTCTACAGATAACTTTAGTTTAACATGCATATTCCATATAATTTTTTTAAATTTTAGCTTAGCACGTCAAGACATTTTGTACAATTATAGATGCATGTGCAAAACAATGTTAGGTGATGTTAGTTAATTAAGAGTGCATACCTCTAACATGCCTTGTGAACTTAGTCATAAATGCAGACAACATGCCAATGATAATGCCAATCACCAGGCCGCCAAGACTTATAGTAAAGAATGAAAATACTCCCAGAACAACCTACAAAAACACAATTTACATTGTCTTGGATACAGTAAAAATTAATGTCATAGATTGATTATTAAGACTATTTAAGCATACATAATAATAATAATAATAACAATAATAATAATAATAATAATAATAATAATAATAATATGTTAGATTTATACAGCGCTTAATGCCTAGAAGGCCTCTAAGCACTTCACATTGTTATTACTCCCCAGTCATTGGATCAAGCAAATATGGAACACTACACATCACATACTCAGCTCCCTGGGGAGAATTCCATAATGTTGCAGCTGTAATCAGCATTTTGTGTTTAAACCTACCAGGAGGTACCCACTTGTACTCCTGGGTAGAGAGAGACAACTGTATAGGCCTTGCCTAAGGACACAAGCGAAATGCACAGCGAGGAATTGAGCCTCCAACCTCAAGGTTGAGAAGAACCGCAACCACTGCATTAAATTAATACTTGCCTACCATGAATCAAAAGTTGAAATCATCTATGTAAGACTTTTTTTTCTACCAACTCAATTAGAAAATCACGTAATGAAACTTGAATTTACAGATGTTATCTGAGTGGTTTGAGAAAAACATATTTTCCCATCAGACTGAATATGACAATTGCTTTACTAACTGAGCTATAAGACCAAATTAGTAATTCTTTACATTTTTCTATTAAAAGTTTACAGACCATTACTTAATAAAACAACTTAAATTACATATATGCAACATCGTCTTAGTAACATACAAACAGCATCAAACATTTTGTAATTGATGAATCTATTGCTGTTAGTTTGTGAAAGGAAAGATTTTGAATAAATGAGAATGTAATGTTTTTATTTTAAAATAAAAAAATAAAAATAAAACAAATTTTCACAAGGTGATTGCTATGTTATATATTATAAAGTGTGGAAAACTTGTCATTTATGTTTATCTGCTTGTAGGCCTATAGCCTTGTATTTATAGTATTCAATTCCTATACAGATAATACAGTAATCTGTTTCCTCTGATCTTATTAGGATAGATGAATACATCAAATTTTGTATTTTTCTGAATATTACAATTTTGGGAGGAGCTCTAATACAGTCTTTGTTTGTGAAGCACCGTAACAGTAGCAAACTGGTTTATAAGAATCATATGGACTCCATGTGATTGGTACAGAGTTAACAAGAAATATTTCCTATAAAAAAACGCTGCAACATCTTTACCGTTATCTTATGTGTGAATTTTGTTATGTTACTTAAAGTACCATGAAATTTAAATTACCGTATTTACAATTGTGAATAAATAAGGGTATTTTTGTTGAAATTGGTGAGAGTTAAAAAGCCACACACTGCCTTAAGTTTCACATTATACATAAACAAACGTAAGGATATGAAGTGCATTGTATGAAAAATGTAAAATCATAAATAATAAGAATGCATGTTTATTATTGTCATAAACTGAAAACAAAGATGGTGACCTGGCTGGCAGGGATGACATCCAAGGCCATGAAGGCTACCATCATGTTGTACAACACGACCGTCACAGCATCTGAAATTGAATTGACACAAATTAATATCAATTTAAATAAACACTTATAAAAACTACAGAATTGTACAATGTTATGTACTATGAATGAGGAAAGGCAAGACAATAAAACTGTTGCTTTACAATATTTTGTTTGGATGACACAGAATTAAGGAGTCAGCTATGAAACAAGCAAAATTGGTATCTTTGTACAGTGAACAGTAATCTACAAAATCAATCCTAATAATATAAGGCCCAAAACAAACCCAATGACATTTCAAATGATACCCAAAATCAGGGTAGGCCAGTCAGCAATTTATATTTTTATTACTATTTTCCTAGGCCTTAGGGTTTAATTTCAACCATCATTCTCTCAAAGCATTTTAGTTGTGAAAAAGAGAGAAGCACAGCTGTAAATTCTAGATTGAGTTATCAAATTACATTACTTAAAAATTGGAAAGAAGTCTTTACAAACATCATACCAAGTATGTTGGGCTCCTTAGTACAAAAAAAAAATACAATTATGTAAAAAAAGTGCTAATATTTGAGTTTTTGGGATGGTTGGACAATGGGCAACACAAAAGTAATTTTGGCCTAATCTTGAGTAAACATTGAAATTGATGGTTACTATCAATGGTTTGCAGTCATTCATCAAAAAAATTAAGTTTACCATTCAGCAGTGACTCTCCAAAAACAAGAAAGTACAATTTATTATTGACATGGATTTCCTGGAAGATTGCTAACACAGCTACCGGATCAACAGCAGAAATGAGGGCGCTAAATGCAAGGCATTGCCAGATGGTTGGTGCAAACGAGCCGCATGCTCCCGCTGCACAAACTCCATACAAACTGCCACCTGCAACACAAGGTGAATAGTTTGTTAAAACTTAGTACGACTTATTGTTATTTGAATTCCATTATAAAAGGTGTAGCTGCATTAGTCTGCTATAGAACAATATGAGAAATGACAACAGCACTTTTAAGACCAACTGTAAAATTTATTGGCTCTAGCTTTCGTCCACACATAGGACTTCATCAGGAGACTCTAAAATTGATGGTAGGGACGAAAATTAGAGTCAATAAATTTTATAGTTAGTCTTAAATGTGCTGTTTCTTCCATTATTCAGTATATAATCACCTCATTTTAAAATACAGTGAAATATTATATATACCAGCCTGAAATATTTGGAATGCGAAAGGGACCCCGCCGAGTTCCAGGGCAGAGCCCCGCTAAGGGTGGGGTGCATACTAACATAAATATTTTTAATAAAGCAATTTGAGTTTCAATGTTATTGTATATCCATTTTTATATTTTAAAAAAACCCATAATTTTAAATACATTTTCCTCTTAATTTGTGAAAATTCGCTATCACGCATAGACTTGCGCTAAATGCGTGACAAATTTATGATCATGCATGTGTTCTGCAAAATTCGTGTTTCATCCAAAATCACTTTGAAATGCGGGACCGTCCCACATGATGTGAGATGGTTGGTAACTATGCAATGCAAGTAAATTAAGGAATTCAAATGCTGTAAAAAAATCAATTAAAAAGATCAAATAAGTTACTTCCAATTACACACAAATTGAATCTATCCAGGAAATAGGACCTGTCATCTGTCAGGGATTGTTGATCAAACTGTAATGTTGGGGAATCACTGGCGCCACAAAAGGTTATTGAATTTATTGAAATATTATGTAGAAATAATGGATGGATAAATATACAGTAGTTGGTACAGTATGGATGGACCAGGGGTGATCCAATGGGGGTGGGCCATGCCACAGGTGGGTGTGCCCCCCCCCCCTTTTGTTTTGCCACTACATTTTTTTTTTTATTTTACATAAAATTCAATGTAGTTGAATAATAGAAAAAAACACAAAATTCTTCTGGGCCCTTTGAATATGCCACTACTGCTAGTGCTCCCCAATTATATTCTGAAAATTTGGTGTACCCCCACCCCCAGTTTGAAAAATTCTGGATCCGCCCCTGTGGACACACGGGCTGACACAAAAAGGGATGGGCAGATTAGAATGGATGGACTCATAGGTGAATCTATATAGACACAGCAATTTTTTGATGAATAAAAGAATAGGTACTAGTATATGGACAGATGTTTAAATTGATGGATTAATGGTTACTCATTATTGAACTGTTTATGTATCACTTTACAATATTGGTTAATATATTACCAGCATACTGTAGTACATACCTATTAATCCAAAATTGAGCAATGATCCCTACAAGAAAAAATATAAACCATTCATTGCAAAACAAATCTTGAAATTTATACACCTCACAATAATAAAAGAATAGAATTTCAACTGATAATATAATCGGAAGTCTATTTGGCACATTATATGTTTTTTATGCGCTGTAAATGAGTAATTAAACGTCTGTAATGAACTTTTTAATGAAAATGTTAACAAGAGATGGTTTATCTATATTTATATATATTTTATATACTCAAATGTATTATTGTTTTGTACTACATGTGCTGTCAGGAGAGCCCTGTGACAATAAGGTTGTGTTGCTTTAAGGCAATCAGGCTTGTTTTACCGGTGAAATAATGATAATTAGTGGTTCATATACTGCGGTTTTTTTGGACATCTTTCATCTCTGCTTGCTTTGCCTTTAAAAAAATGGCAAAAATTGAATCTAATCACTTTGATAATTATAAGAACCTTTGGCCTCATATTACATTATATTTTCTTTTTATAAATCATTGATGTTTAATAATTTATTTTTAGATTTGAACCTTTAATATATACAGTAATACAGTTTCTATAGTATTATAATTAATATTCATTAAAAATTCTGAAAAGCATAAAGGCAAATTATGAACAGTATTCAAGAAATAAAGGTCAACAATGCAAAATTTACCTATTATCATTTTATATACACAGTATTTAATAAAGAAATTTTTAGAGGTAATAACAAAATTTTAATGAAATATTTTTTTTTAATATCAACTTACAACAACAGCATATAGTAATATTGTTCCCAAGTTGTTAGAAAAAACTCTATCATACAATGAGTAAGCTGATTCTAAGATGATTCTAAAAAAAACAGTTTTGTATAAGATGTATAAAAACATGAGAAAATAATAGTTCATGATATATCAATATCGAAACGACAGAGTTTGTGAAATAAATAAACCATTCCATTTATCCATTTATATGGCGCCATTAACTGCCTATGGGTTCTAAAGATTTGTATTACAACAAACACTTTATCAGTCCACGGCAGTAAAAAGTAATATTAAAATCATAAGCCATATTTAAAACAGCAGTGCATAAACAATTTTGAAAGCACATGGGAAGCACCAAAATTTGGGTGTGGTTCTGTATTAAATAAAAATTGTCCTGCAATCAATTTTTATGCCAACATGCCGTAGATAAATCTTGAGGTTTGAAGAGCACAGGATTAAAATATATTAGTATCCCACCCCAAAAACCTCTAATACGGTACTGTAGGACACAACATCATTTTTGGTTCCCATCCCACGACGACTACCACCTACTTGGCTAGATGTGCTCTGGGATCCCTAACAGAATGTAAACTTGAACAAGTACTCACGGTGGCAGTAGGTATAGAAAGAAAGTTGTCTCATCAAATGATATGAAGATCGTTCCTTTAGATACACTACAACAAATTGTAAAAGCATTGAAAGTCAATGGGACACTATCAAGTGCAACGATCAGAAATTGGGAATTTCTTTTTGACACCTTATAAAACTTCAACAAACCCATGAGGTGTTCTTTCAATGGCATGCAGTATACCCTTCTAGAAATTGATGTTTCATATTTATATTTATTTATTTTTAGTCAATTATATCAAGAAATAATGCAAAAAACACAAGAAATGCTTAAAAACTTAAAAACCTTAATCACTAAAATGCATACATACTCTAACAATAAATAATAGTATTCAAAAAAACACTGTCAAATTTGTGGAGTGGAAACAGGCAGATCTCAGGCCTTGAAAGCAACCTAAAAATATCTTATAATTGCCAAAACAATCGTGGTGTAGATGACACTTTAGAATTCCATATATGCCTATAAACCTTAGCCATTTTGTACACTTTATTGGTGTCTGATTTACTGTACAATTGATTACACAAGCGTAGCAACTTACCTAGTTATACTACCAAGTGCAGTACCAACAACAATAATTAGTGCAGACTCCGGAACGCGAGATGACAACCATTTAACCTTGTGGAACCCTATGTATAAAAGAAATGGAACATTATTTGTAGACCACTGCACTATAAGCATGGCTTGGATAAGATCTGCATTGTAAACCACTGCAATTTACAACTAATAAGCCTAGATAGTCATGAGTATTCTTTTTAACATAAACCATTGGCATGTACATTTTTTTACCACTTGTAAAACCTACAAAATAATCTAAGACTTGGGTAAATATTTTCAAGGAGATGCAAATTACTGTACTAATTATTAAGTGGTGTTCATACAGCTCATACTGGATAAATTTTGAACAAGACAATTTCACTGACTATAGATTTAAAGTCAGTAGGATTTGAAAATTAGTAAGATTTTGTTCATGCATGACTGGCGTATTGAGGATAGATTCTGTGATGTGTGTGATCAGCATGGATTTTACTTCAAGTGGACTGGGTTTGGGTAATTTGACCAAAGAGTCATACACTTAATTTTTGGTCAAACTGACCAGGTTCACGGTTATAGTCCAGTTCAAACAGGGTTTTAAAGACATAGATGTACAATACAGGGGTCCCAAGTCTCCCCGCGACCAGTGGAAGTCTTTTGGAAGCCTCTCGCAAGCAAGCTAGAATCTTCCGGAAAATAACCATCTCCCTAATTTTTCAAAATTATAACGAAAATGGGGAAAAAATTTAATTATACTCAAATTTAAGTCTGAGAGTGCCATTTCTGGCCATCTAGAGGTAATATAATCATCTATTTTCCTACCCAGCCCCAACCATTGTGGGGCTGAGGTGGTCTAGACCCTTCATCTGTGAAAGTCTATTTCTGGACTTCCTCTGTTTCGAATTCCTAGAGCTACTAATGCAGATCTCCCAGAATTAAATTCCTCAACTTGGGGCCCCTGTACAATAGTCATGTGTACTATTTCTTCAAAGGGAATAGAAAGTAAAAATGTTCAAAACTATCTATCAAAACTGAATTGACTAGCATTCAAAATTACATAATTTCAAGAAATCATTTGTTCACAGTAACGAGTAGATTAACTAAAATTAATTGGGAAAAAATGAAATGGTGAAGTATGGTCAATCTCTCACGAAATGTCTCTTTTGCAGATATTGAATATTAATTTAACTAGATTACTGTAGATGTGCAAATTAAGTTAGTTTTTAGGGTTTTTAATTTATGTTCAGTTACAACTGTACTTCACCTACATTATAGTACAAATCAATATTTTTATCTTGTATAGCACAGTCATATTGTTTATGTTTTAAACCATGGAAACCAATAGTTAATGATGTATCTCATAATTTTCAATATTCGCTTTACAATAACACGCTACACTGACATACAGTACAAATCAATAGGCTTATTATGTATGTTGTAAACCATGAAAACCAATCATCATGATGCATAGACTAGTTAACGATATAAAACAGAATATTAATGTAAATTTAACAATCTCTTCTTCAAACATCAAACAAGTACTTTGGGTTCTTCAAAAAAGCCAAACCTATTGGTCATTCAGGCTTGGGCATGTCCACATTATTTTTGGCCTATAGTGTAAATACTAAATAGAATATTAAATGTAATATACATTATAATAGGGAGCAGTGGTAAATTACAACAGGTACATAAATAATATTAATATTGTTGCTATATTTTTTACTCAATACATTTAATTAATTAATTAATTAATTAGTTGGTTGGTTTTTTTATTTTTTTATTTATTTAATTACTTACTTACTTACTTATTTTTATTTATTTATTTTTAGGCACAAAACACACGCACCAGGGATTGTCAATAACGAATATATCAATGTCCTACCAGAAGGTGACAATCCCTTTCACACAGCCGCGTAGCTAGGTGCGAAAGGGCCCCAGAGCAAGATTACAGTAATTGCCAGGCCCTTTGATATGATAGGGGAATTCCCTAAAGTCCTAAAAAAATTCATCGTAAGAATTGCTTCTTTTACCCCCTACTCCTAAAGGCCTAGGTTAGTAATATATACTAATGATAATCGGATTCATAAATATTTTAAGAGGGGCATACATTCGGTATAAGCAGCTGTTCTAAACAAAAGCAAATTGATGGCATGTACATTAAACAATTGCAGTGGTGGATCAGAAAATTTGAAATAGAAGGGGGCAGGTGAAGGATGAAGACCACCTCAGCCCCATCATGGTTGGGACTGAGGTAAGAAAATTTATGATTATAGCACTTCTAGATGGCCGGAAATGGCACTCTCCGACATATAATATAATGAATATATATATTTTTTTCCCCTTTTTATATCATTTTGAAAAAATAGGTGGTCGGGGCGGCTGGGCCCTCTTGAATACACCACTTAATTAAAATCAACGCCGTAATAAATAATTACTTCTTTGAAAACCGAATATTATTGAGGGGCACGCTGGCTGTTTTTTTCTTCAAAATTAAGTGGGAAATTATTTTAAATTATTATTTTTAGGTCTATTTATGAATGGGCCCTAGCCCTGGGCCTCAGTGCTTTGCACTGGCTGCACTGCCCATAGCTACATCACTGCTTTCACAATATAAACATACACACATGATACCACATATGATACACACATGATACACAAACTACAGTAAATCTCAATAGGAGGTTTTGAAGTGGCATTGTTTTTTGAGAAAAGAAATCCTGCAACACCGACAGGAATTGAACCAAGGACCCTGGCAGGGGCGGATCCATTGATGTCCGAAAGGGGGGAGGATGACCGGGGGAGGGGGGAATTTGGACCGATCGAGACAACACTAGTCTAGGGGGACTGGGGGCATGTCCCTGCAAAATTTTGGTTTTCTAGATGCCCAAAAATAACCTCTAAGATGTTTTGGGTGGTCATTTTTTTTCTTTTTTCTTTTTTTTTTTTTACTTTCCAAAAGGTGGGGGGGGGGAGTCCGGCCTCCCTAAATCCGCCCCTGCCTGGAATTGTAAGGAAAGCATCTTATCCACCAAACTATTTAAACTCCACCATGTCACATACAGTATGTACAAAATACAAGAACAATGAAATCTGGTTTGATTCCTTATAGACAAAACCAAAAACACATAAATTTAAGACTTGAGTTAATTATTTAATGCCCTATTAATGGTGGAGGGATAAATGCTCAACAGGGACCTGTGTAACCTTTGAACTTTCAAGGACTCTATTATGGGATGTTCCCGCGGAATCTCGCTCTTGTGGGGGTTTGTAGACTAGCCAAGCTGCGTCTTGTTGGAGGCTCACACTTTGTATAGAATAAAACCGTTAACATCCAGCTTACTTGGTGTCTGGCTCATTCATTGAAGTCCGAACTCATCTAGTAACATCCATAGAGAGTTACACCTGTCTCTTATACACATCTAGATGTGTATAAGAGACAGCTTTTAATGATAACTGAGCCGCATCATCATCAGTAGTGTGCAGCCTCATCATCAGCTAGCCGACCAGACTCATCCCACATCACGCGCAGCGAAGATTGTATCTTTTCATGTGTCAATTTTCCCTAGGCCACAGTATCTATAATAATTTTTTTTTTTAAAGCCTGTGGTATATATATCCTTGTAGGTTACATGTATATGGTTTCAGTCCTAACGTCCTTTATTTCGTATATCCCCCATAATTTTGTTATTTCGTCCGTCTACCTGTACACGTATATCATCTGTGTAGGCCTACGCTCGCTGAGCGTGAATCAGCTAATTCATTTTGCATTTGTTGCTAGGTTACGTACTTCATTGTTAGTATTGCTAGGCCTAGGCTCGCTATAGTTATGGCGCCGGGTAAAAATTCTAAGAAATCCTCATCTCCTCCCCCTGACCTTAATCAGGGTAGTAGTAATGCACAACCAGCTGGTGCTGGTAATAATAGTTACCTATCGCCGTTAAAAGTTGAATTACCACCATTCTTTGTTGGGAATGGAATTGAGGCTTTCAGTGTTTGGTGCCGTAGACTTGAGGTGGCTTTGAAAAAAAAAAAAAAACAGAAAAAAAAACCAGAACGAACAAACACAGAACAGAAACAGAGGGACAACCAGAAACAACAGTAGCACAACAACAAAGCGACAGCATGCGCAGGGGAGCGTACCAGTCGCGCACGTAATTTTTTTACGCATGTGGTTATAGAAGTTAGGATTTGTTTTTCCAGGTTTTAGTGTTAGTGGCATGAGGGTCTTTTCTCCTTGTTTATGGGGAATTGAAACCGTCCATGCGCGCGCGTAATTTTTTACGCAGATGTTATAACAGTTAGGATTTTGTTTTTCTCTTGGTTCTAGTTTAGCTGGTGTTTGGGCCATTCCTTGCTTGCGCGGCTTGCGCAATTGTTAAATTGATTCTGATAAACTTAATAATTTTCACCGTTTCTGATACTACTACAAGTTCCATGGATTATTGTTTGCAGATAATTTTTTTATTTATTTGGAGGTGATTATTGTTTTCTTATTTTTCTTCTTCATATATGGTACCATACGCAATTCGTATGCTACATTGTATTTATATAGTATGATTTATTTGAGTGTGTACCATGCGCCATTCGCATGCTACAGGATTGAATCTGTTGTACCATACGCTATTCGTATGTTGGTAGATTGAATGTTTTATTTTTGACAGTGTTTATAATACAGATATATATTTTTTTTTTGCACCATACGCTATCCGTATGCTGCTGCTTTGCTGATTTCTTTGAGATATTTTTTTTTTATACCGTACGCTATTCGTATGCTGCTGTGTTGCTTTATTTTTGGAATTTTTTTTTATATACAGTACATGCAATTCATATGCTACATGTTTTTCTTTTATTTGGGACAATATTTTTTTTGGCTTCTCTTCACCGTACGCAACACTTCGTATGCTGGAAGGATGTCAACTGTCACCAAGAATCTCATCAATGGAGTCATCAATTGCTCAGGGAATATCTTCAGATGTCAACCAATAATAATAATAATAATAATAAGATTTATTAAGCGCACATCTCCACTAAACCAATGGAACAACCAGCTAAATAAATACAATAAATATTTAATTTCATAAATGCTATAAATGCTGTTAATTCCATAAGAAGATTGCTTATACTATAATGCTTAGTTAGGCTTATGAATTATTAATTTTTTTGCATGCATAATAGAAGTGGGACACTTCTTAGGGAGAGGGGGAGTAGTGTAACCTTTGAACTTTCAAGGAATCTATTATGGGATGTTCCTGCGGAGTCTCGCTCTCGTGGGGGTTCGTCGACTACTAGCCAAGCTGCGTCTTGTTGGAGGCTCA